AAGCTCAAGGCTGGGCGGACTGGCTGTCCGAGCCTCCCTTTGTCAGAAGCTCAGAGGATGAAGCAAACACAGCTGGGAGCTGAGCCCAAGGCTGCGCCTGCCACAGTCTCGGCCCGCAAATCTGCTTCTCCTGCCGGGTCCAGGTCAGCTCGGGGAAGAACCACGCCATCCCGGCTTCCAACTCTGCAGGGACTGATTTCCTTCTTGGGACACTAGGAATTCCAAGCCCAAACTCTGCCCACCACCCTCTGAACGTCCTCTTGGTGGCACTAGGACCCATGCCTCAGCATTGTTGCTGCACAGACCCCTGATTGCCCCCTCCTTGCCAGTTGCTCATTTTGGCCACCTGTTGGTCCCTACTCCTGTCCCCTCCTTTTTCCTTTGTCCTGACTCAGAATCCTCAGGCTCCTGGACTGCCCTGAGACCCAGCCAGCTACCTACAAGCCCCGAAATCATGAGCCCGGCTGGGACCTTGAATGTCCCAGGCACCAAGGAAGTTCTTCAGGTGGGTGCTCAAAAGCATGCAAAGATGAGGCTTCTTGCTCCCCTTGTTGAGGCCTGCCCTGCCCAGAGCCTAGTTCCTCACACCCCCTGTAAATGCAGGCCTGGGCGCCCCGTTGTGGAAGCAGTGACTCCACTCTGCTCTTCCCGAGGACTGCAGCCGGCCTCACCATGACCCCCACTTTGGTCTGTTCTTTCTTGGGATCCCAGCCAGCCCCACCTCCAGAGGGTCACACACACTGCTGCTGCAAAGTCTCCTGCCACCACTTTGGGGCGATTCCAGCCAGGGAGTCAGCCACAGTGGCCACTGCCTGGGCACTGAGGACTGTCCCTGACGCACATGGGAGTGCAGAGTGGAACAGTGTGGGGATGCTGGGAGTGGATCAGAGCATTCCTGCCCTCCTGCTTCTACACTGCACAAGCCCCAGGTGAAGGGACCGCCTCTGATACCTGCACCAGGAGAGACTGGAACTGTTGTTTGTAAATACGACAGGAAGCTCCCAGCCTCCTGCATGTTCTAAATCAAACAGTCAAATAGAAAGATCGATTACTTCCATTGTAGATCATTCGTCTGTTCCTCCTTCCCTGGGCTTTCCCAAGGCCGGATTATCTGTGCTGCTTCTGTCTGATCATTAGGCTCAGAAAGTCTAAGATGCAGCCCTCATTTGACTTCATTAAATGGAATACTGTGCGATGCAGCCAATACATTAAATGCCAACTTCAGTGGATAAAGTAAATAATGTTAATGTGGAAGGGTAATCAATGGTTCCTCACATAATATGCAAGCACACAACCAAGTATCTGATCTCCCCTCCCTGTGGGCTTAATTAGCATTCCTGCATAATTAAATAACCATGGCTGGATGGCTTGAAAAAATGAAGTGTTCTTGAAATTAAAAACCGTATTTATACCATGACATTTGTTTATGGTAAATATTGAACATTGTTTTTGAAAAATTACAGTTTTAGGACATGCATTGTTTTGAAATTGCATCCCTGCTTTCATCAGAACATCAGCTGCTTTTTGTCAAGGGAACCCCAGCCCCTCAGTGTCCCCAGGCTCCAGGGGCCTTGGAGGAGGGCCTTGCCTCTCACATCTGGATTAACCTGGAGGCCGGTGTGCCTCCCTCCTCCAGTTACTGTGTGTGTTTCCATTCCTCACCACTGCCCAAGTCTGAAAGGTTCAGCAGGCTCCGGGCATGGGCAACTCCTGAGTTCTGAACAGCACGCCATTTGCAGTCCATGGAGACATCTCCCTGCGTGCTGCTCCCCGCTTTCCCCTGAGCATCCACCCTCCCTGAGCTACCCCCCCCACGGTCCATGGCTGTGCTGGTTATCAGCTCTCTCCTTGGGTGTGGCAGTGCTTCTGTTGGCAGAGCGTTATATTACTTAATAAAGGCCCCAAAGCACAAAGCAACAGTACTTTTATTATCTACCTACAGTTGTTTTGTTTAATTATTATTGTTAACCTTGTACTCTGTAATATGCTTTAGATTGGGAATGTCCCCCAAAATCTCGAGTTGGGGCTTTGGGAGGTGACTGATTGGATCATGGGGGGCTGTACTCACCAGTGGATTAACCTGGAGATGAACCCATAGGTAGCTGCTGTTAGGAGGGGTCTGGGAAGATGTGGAAGAGGCAGGCCCCTGTGGGTGTGGCCTGGAAAGGTGTACCTCCCTCTTGGGCTCCTTCTTCTCTCTCTGCTTCTAGGCTGCTCTACCCTAGGCACATTTTCCTCCACAGACCCCTCTTTCATGCTGTTTCTGCCCCAGAGCCAGCCAAGGACGGAAACCACGAGCCAAAATAACCCTCTCCTCCTTTGAGTTGTGTGTGTTCAGGGAGTGAAGAGCAACTGAGACACTGTCTAATTTATAAGATAAAATTTATCTAGGTGTGTAGGTATATGAATAACAGGGCTTGGTACTAGTCAGAGGTAGTGGCACACACTTACAATTCCACTGCTCGGGGAAGCTGAGGCAGGAGGATCACAAGTTCTGGCCCAGCCTGGGCAATTTAGTGAGACTCTTTCTTTAAAAATAACAGCAACAATAGGGTCTGGTATGATCTGGGGTTTTATGCATCCACAGGGGTCTTGAAATATATGCCCAGTGAATAAGGAGGGAATACTGTATTTAGGGATTTTTTTTTTGTTTCTATTAATTTACTGAATTTGTAGAAGTTCCCTGACTGTAAAATTTCTTCTAAAGTCTCTTAACATTTCTTTTTGTTTTCAGAGATATTACTTAGTCCAAATTATTCTACATCTTTCGCACCATTTCTGTGGGCTTTGGAGAGGGCAGCTTTAGCCGCAAATGATAGTATTTGGAGTTCCAAGTAAGCAGGTGCCTCCTCTCAGCAGAAGGAAGCACAAGGAGGTATTTCTCACTAAAGTACCAGGCCAAAGGGAGCCACCACGTTGCTATGGAAACGTGTCTAGAGCAGAGTTGTCCCATGAATCTTCCTATTCCTGTAAGGAAGGGTGCTTGCCTCCCTGTTCGAAACCTCCATGTGGCTCTCGAGGGATTTGAATGAGACTTGGGTGACCAGGAAGCATTTTCCCATTACTCTCATTGTGTAAAAAGTCATCCAGGGTCAGTGGCTTCCACACAGGACAGCAGCGTTCTGGAAACTCAAGTCTGAGCAACACAGAATGTTCCCTTATGATGGGGACAATGCAGGATTCACTCGGGGCTTAGCGCTCTGCATATTTACCCAGTCATCACCTCTTCCTCTGCCCCGCCCACCGGGGCACAAGGGGAAAGAGGGTTCAGGTAGATGGCTGGGGGCTGCCCATCTTCTGCAGGCATTAGCTGAGAACCCTCCTGTGCTTCCTGAGTTCCTCGCAGCTCAGTTTAAGGCTCTCAAGCCCACAGAGGACCCACAGAAGAAAATTCCTGCTACGCTGGACCTGCCTGCCCTGCGGCAGCCTGCTGAGTTTCTAGCTGTCAGATTGCCCTTGGCCAGCCCACGGGCTCCGGTGCAGCAGGCAGCGGTCAGCAGAACCACTACCCCCCAAAACCTGGAGATCCCTTGGTGTGGGCTGGTAAATTGCTTCTGACCCAAACCACTCCACATGCCTGTGGGCTCTGCAGTCCCGGCCTCCATTCTGGATGCCAGTCAGTGCCCCCTCTGACTGGGGCTGCCCTCTGCTCTGACACTGCTCTGGACTTCTGCGTCACTCTTGTCTGCTCCCCAGTGACCTGCCAGGGATACCCGGGGGAGCCTCCTGGCCAGCTCCTCCTCCCTACTGGACCCCTGTCTTTCTAAGTAGTCAGGACCTCATGCTCTGGTCTCAGGGCTTAGCCTGTCCTGGCTAAGGAATCACATCTCTGCTGCGAGGTGTTTATTTCCTTAAGAAATATCACTATACTTCAACCACTGTGACAACTTCCTGAGCAGATCCTAAGTAGTTTTGTAAAAAAATTGCAGACAGCTGAAAGGAATCTGCACTATTTTATTCTTTATCTCCCGTTTGTCCAATATTTGCCTATGATTTGGGATGGACTGGGGCCCCCACTTTAATAACCACAATAGATAGGCTGAATACATACCAAGTCTTGGAGTTTTTTGAGTAATTTTCAGACCCTTCAAAATGACCATGCCTTTCCAACTATCAATTCTACCTTATGAATTCCTAGAAAGTTAGTGTGTCCAATAGCAATATTTTTTACAATAATAAAAATCAGAAAAATCTAAATGCACAATGTTAAGAAAATGTACCTGCAAATTATGTTTAATACTTACCAGTGGATACTATATATTCATTACATGACACCTAAATACATTTTAATGCCATAAGAAATGAGCTTTATTGGGTAAAATCAGGATGAGGCAGTTTTTAAAAGGCTTGGAAAATCTTAAAAATAGAGCGGTTTCTCTCAGATAAAGGGATCGTAGGCCAGGTGTTTCTTCTGCATGTGTTTTTGTGCTTTCCAAATAATTATAAGATAAACATTCAAATTTTTACATAGGAAAACATATCTGAATCCAGATGGATATTTGTGCGTGCGTACATGTAAGTATCTTGCAAGGACACGACAGCCAACAGCAAATAGAGAGCTTAGGAAAAGACGAGAGATGGCTGAGCTTCCACCAGCACCTCTTTCTCTGCTATGTGGTTTCCACACTGGCCTCAGTGAGTGCTCATCTCTTCTAGGGTTGGATGCGAGCAGCATGGGGTGGTGGGCTTCACATTAATCTGGCAACGACCCTCTCTGCAGAGACATCCCCGCTCCCACTTTGAGATGAAGACTGTCACCCACTCAGGGTGAAGCTCATAGAATGCCCTTGCTGAAGTGGATACACCCTGGATTTCCCTCGTTACATGGAAAGCACAGCAAACTATGCAGAAAACACAAATGTGTCCATTTTAATTGTCTGGAGCTTTCACCATTATTATACTGAGTGCTTTAAAAACACCAGGTATATGATTCTTTTACTTTTCTGCCAAATTCATTTTATAAAATATGTGTGTTGGGCCAGGGATTTAGCTCAGTGGTTCTGCCGCCTGCCTCGCAAGCTCAAGGTCCCAAGTTCGATCCCTAGTACAAAAAAAAAAAAAATATGTGTGTTGGTGTGGTTCAAGAATTAGAATTTTCTTCTCATTTTATTGCTGCAAAAAGGTAAAAACAAAAAAAAAGTGCACACTCTTAGGAGCTGTGCACTTTCTGAAAATAAGCTGCACCTGGCAGAATCCACTGCATCTGAAAATATCTCAGCGAGGTGTGGTGCACACCTGTGTAATTCCAGCACTTTGGGAGCTGAAGCAGGAGGATCACAAGTTCCATCCCAGTGAAAGCCTCTCTCAAAAGATGAAAGAAGTGGAAATGACAGGGAGGCTGGGGCTGTAGTGCAGGGCACAGGCTCTGGGGTCAATCCACTGTACCCTCCCCCAAAAGGAAAGAAAAGGAAAAGGGAAAGAAAACATCCCCATGTGGATTTGCTTCTTGCCTCACGATCAGTGATGGCAGACATGCACTTTGTCAAAATGAATGAAATTTTTAAAAGTCCTGGATTTCAGTTTCCCTCCCTGTTCTTGGAGAAAAGAAACGGGATTTTATTTCATATTTTTAGAATGCCTGTCCCTCGGATGCCCGGCAGCTATCCATTTCTCAGAGGAAAAATAACAATCTTGCCCACAGACACTCTCTTCTCTCACATGTCCAGGGTTCAGATGGACTCCATTGTGATTCCTGATATCAATAAGATTACAGAGAATACAGCAACTCCCCAAGACCAAATAGTATCAGGGCTGAGACATCCTGGGATCCTGTGAGGACCAGGCAGAAACTCCGGAAGGGGCTACGAGCTCCAGGCCAGGCTCACAATGCTGCTCTGAAGGTGTCTGGGCTGTGGGCTCCAGGAGGGGTTGCTACAGTGCAGACTCAGGTCCCTTGCTGTGAGGGAACGTCTAGGCCTCACACATGCACCATGGCCTGGAGAGCTGTTCAGACTCCGCAACTCTCTGTTGCTGTGACTTCACCTTGGCTCACGGTTTCAGAGGTTCCAGTGTGGATGCTCAGCCCTGCTGTCCTCAGGCCTGAGGAAGAACAGGGTAGAGAAGCTGCTTAGCTCAGGGCAGCCAGGGAGCAAGAAAGGAACTGGGCAGGTCCTGATGTCCCATTCAAGGGCGAATCCCCAGTGGCCTCCAGATTCAAATTCTAACCTTTTCCCCCTTAAATCTCTGCACATATTCCATTTCTATTGAGTTCTGATGAACGATGATCAAGTTCTTTCCCCCTCATTAGTTTTCTTATAATCATTGTTATAATAAATAGTCAAATTATCCTCAAAGGAATCCACCTAAAGAATAAAATTTTCTGTAAAGTCATCTTTTATGAACATTTGTAATATTTTTCTTTCTCCCTGCTCAAGTCAGCTCTGTGTTGGAAATAAGATTTCAGTAGCATGGGGACTGATATATTCATTCTCAAATCTCTAATAGTTTTCTCACTTTCTGAAAATCTCTGGGGTAGGAATATGGGAGGAAAATGAATCAAGATTAAAAGCAGGCAATGTAGTGCTCAGAAGGGAGAGAAAAGTTTTACATTTCTGGTGACACAAAAGAGATAACAAAATAGAGACTACATTTGTCTTATAGGTGAATCCAAAACACTACTTGCAGGAGAAGCCATTTTGAGGGATAAGAAGTTGTATTCATTTGCTAGGGTGTGGCTGGTGACCAGTTGGACAGATGGGGGTAAGGACTCAAAGGAGGTACCCAAAGGCTGCCTGGGGGAAGGGCCGTGTAAGGGAGACAGGACAGTAGGTGGTGGAGACATTTTAAAAAATCATTTCCACACCTGTTAAACTCAAAATCACACTTGGTACAAATAAGAGAATGTGGTACGGACCCCAGACAAAATTACTCTGATTATTGGTGATGGCCTGGTGAGCTAAACCTTATGCATTTTAATAAGCTGGTTTTCTTTACATGAACACTTTTTAAAAGACAGCAACAAGGGATAAAAAAGAGATTGTATTTTCATAGTGATTATATTGCTTGTGAGTTTTATGGTGGTCCCTTGTGTCTCATCTGGGTGTCAGTAGCATTCACCTTCTAAGCATAAAAACATATCCTCCTGTCTTGCTGAGAAAAGTTACAGATGTTTGCCTCATCCATGTGCACAATGGATTTAGAGGGAGAGAATGTAAAGGGGAAGCAGAGCTTGGGGTAGGACACGTGCACCTTCAGCTGCTCAGGGTGTGCACCTCACAGGGAAGGGGGCCTGGTGCCCGTCAGTCTGTGGAATGAGGCACAAGGTGATGGGAAGCAAAGACATAGCACCCAGGCCTCAAGGTTTATTTAAGACATTATCCAATGAGACATACTTTCTTAACCATTGGTCACTCACAGAGCACCTGACACATTGTAAGCTTGCATTGATAATTGAAGAAAACCTCTGTATGCCACTGTCTGTATAGCTGTTTATCTGTCTGTCTATCTAATCCATCTACTATTAATCTATTCTTATTTAGAGACAGATACATAAATCTACATGATTACAGATGATTCCTAATTTACAATAGTTTGGCTTCACAGATTTTCCACTTTACCGTAGCAAAAACCAATACACACTGTGTAGAATCCAAACTCCAGATGTGAATTCCAAGTCTGAGTCTTCTCCCAGGCACGTGGCGTGTGGCCCAATGCCCATCTTCCATTCTGGGGCAGCACCAGAGAGCTCAAGTGCCTGGTCAGCTCTGTGGTCACCAGACATCACAGGTTCCTTCCAGTGTGCTGTGCTGCTCAGCAGGGATGCAGAAGTCGAGGAAAGGCAGTTTTGATTTACAATATTTTCAGTTTGCATCAGGTTTATCAGGCTGTATCTCCACACTAGCCAAGGAGTTTCTGCATACCTGTACACCTGTCTAGCATCTACCCATGGACTGACCTCTTTCTAATCAGCATTTATTTCTATCTCTCTCTCTCTCTCTCTCACACACACACACACACACACACACACACACCCCTACCTTTCTGTCTGTCTTAGGTGCACGGACACTTCCTGTTCTGAGTGCAGTGAGACGCTGCAGTCACCAACGCAAACCTCCTGGCCTGCACAGATATGCAGGGCCCTGGGCTGAGTCACAGGGACACAGCACCTGACACAACTAAAGGGAAGAGAGGTTGATTGTGGCTCAGGGTTCAGTGCATGGCCAGCTGGCTGCAGGCAGGAGGGGTCTGGGGAGGAGAGTCACTCCTGGCACACTGGGCAGGAAGCAGAGAGAAGGGAGGAGTCAGGGAGGTCACCTCGAAGAGGAAGAGGCGCGGCCTTTTCCAGACAGACCACACTGTACAGCACATTCAGATGGAATCCACTCATGGGACAGCACCCTGTGATCCAAGCATTTCCCACAAGCCCCACTTCTGAACATGTGCGGCATCTGGGGGACCTGTTTGATGTCATAGGGGCAGCTGTTTCTTCTTTCCCCAGTTCCCAGCCAGCTGGTCCTCCTGCCCGCAGTGAGTGCAGCATTACTCTCACTAGGAAGCCATGTCAACTGACTTCCGTCCCCTGAGCAGGCTGGTGACCCTCTTGCAGGATTTCTTGGACATCGTTGCACTTTATTAAAATGTTTGGCTTTGCCATCTGGTGCTCACACTTGTCACAAATTCTCTTGGTCAGCGCCGGCACACGAGACTCTCATCTGAGTCAAGTCCTTACCCTTGCCCTGTGCAGAGATCTGCCAGAGCAACTGAAAGCAGAGATCTCTGCCGCTTAACAAATGAAACACTGCCTTCCAAGCTGCCCACCACGCAGCATGTCGGAGGAAATCGGTACGGTACTTCCGGGGATTGTGCATATGCTGAAGTCTCCTCATCTAAGTACATTTTGATCATATCCTTCTGCTTAGCTGATGCAAGTTTCAAAAAAGAAAAAAATCACTTTCTTCTTTATATCAGAAAAGCAGAGCCGGAAGGAAAAACAACTCTACCAGTCTAAGGCGATATAGCAGAACAGAAGAAAGACCACAGAGTTCAGAATTCAGAATTAGCAACCCAGTTCTGACGCCCAGTCCACCTGTAGTGGCCCTGTGACTGGGGCATGTTCCTGACCAGAGAGCATGGGTGTCCTCACAGTGGAGCATGGAGTTGCCGCATGGAATTCGTAGCCCTGGATGAGAGGGTCCGAGATAACTTAGTGTCACACTGTAGGCACTAAATCAGCAAGGGTCATCTGTACCATCACTCACCTCACAGCAATACAGAGTAGCAGATCTCCTCACCATTTCCTTTCCCTCCTGTTACCATATCTGCACAGATGTGCACACACAGTGTGCATTATGCATTGCTTAACAACAGGGATGCAGTCTGAGAAGCGCATTGTTAGTTGATTTTGTTGTTAATTAAGCATCTCAGCGGCTTTTTTTTTTTTTTTTTTTTTGGTGAAACATCATCAAAAACTGGTTGGTGGATACATGGAATTTTTAAATTTTCCTTTTGTTAGTATATATTTGTAGCACATAATGATTATATTTATCACAGGGAGTTAGTCCATGTACATACCACGTCTTACGAGAGAGTATTCTTATGCAGACCTGGATAGTATTCCTAAGTTACTGTGTGTGGCCTCTTTATGCAGTGAAGAAGTAAATATGAGACAGAGGAGACTGGTACAAGCATGACATAGCATATGTTCTACACGAAACTTAATTTTTACAAGTAGAATAATGCTATAAAATAATGACATATATAATTCTTTAAGATATTGGCACAATTGCTTATCATCATTATTATGTGTAATGTTACTATATATAATTGTGTGACCTATATATTTGCATGACCTGAAGGGCAACTGGTTTGATTGCTGTGACGTTACCACAGATACATCAGCAATATGTTGCACCAGCAATATGTTGCAATGGTTACAATGTCTCTACAGCTACATTCATAGGAATTTTTCAGCTCTGTAACATCTATGTAGGAGCATCATGTATATGCTGTCCATCACTGATAATAGTATCATTTTGACAATTAAAATGGGAAATAAACATTTTTCTCAGTTGAGGGACTAACTGGTTATGTTGTGGCAACACTGCTCAAATACTAGTAATGTAAACCCAATTAAAGTGATGAATTAAATGAAATACTGGCTTCATGCTTACTGAGGAAGCAACATAAATAAATTAATTAAAGCATCATAGCAACAAAGATCTAAAACAAGACTTGCAAAAAAAATGCTAACAATAAAATGCTAACAGTGAAGTTATGGCTGTAAGGTTTTGAGAAATTGTTTTATCTTTCATTTTAATTAAAAAAAATATTTTTTTAGTTCTTTTATTGGTACATTTTAGGTATACAATTGGTTTACATTTATCATTGGGTGGGTGTTTGTACCTGTACATGATGTATCTTGGTTCTTATTTATTTCCCATTCCCTGTGTGCCCTTCACACCCTCCACCCTTCCCTATTTACATAGGTTTCATTTCCATTCTTTTTTCTTTTCTCATAGTTTTTCCTTTCCCTCTTTTCCTTTCCCCTTCCCCTATCTTTCATTTTAAAATGTTTATAATTAGCCTGCACACATTATAAAATGAACATATTTTAAAGCAAAAGTTACTTGTTTCTCTGCTAAAATCACATATTGCACATTTGCTTTATAATAATGGTTCTTGTGCAGCTGTCCCAAGACATCAGGGCATGGACCCTGAACCCGGGCATTAGAAACTAAACTACTAAACAGACGGCCCCGTGGAGTGTGTGAGCACAGGGCCAGACTGGAAGAAGAGCTTTGTCCTTTCAGAAGCGTGGCGGCAGTCTCCACTTGGGCCCAGCACAGAATGCGCCCATTCACGTGGATGCCAGGCGCTAGTCATCTTGGCAAAGAGCTCTCGATCTGCAGCCTCATCTTCTGTTTTCTGCTGTCCCTTTGACTGTGCGATCCTGTCTGCATGATTGTGGTTCCTACCGACCTAAGACCTGATTTTCCGGTGTGTGAAGAGAGAGATGTCAATGCACCAAAGTGCATTTATGGGGGAGCAGACTTCCAAGCAACCCTCAGACGATCTCTGAGAAACTCTTAGCCATGAGAGAAGGTTCCAGAAGCTGAAATTGTTCACTCGCAATTGAGAAGCCCCTGTCATGAAGTAGGAGATGAAGGAACCGGGTCTCCATTGAAGTGCAGACATCAACAGGGAATCTAGACAAGGACTAAAAGTCCAGGATGCTGGAGCCATGGAGGAACCTTCTGGAGACAATTGTCCTAGACCAAATAAATCCAGCCACGTGGGTCATGTGATCCACAGGCCTGTGGTGGGAGAAAGCTCTGAATGAAGAACTAGGTGAGGCTCCACCTCCTGGAACCACAGTTATACACAAAGTGGGTGTCCTGTTGGAATTCTCTCTGAAAGATTTGCTCAGCTTAGAGGGAATTCTGCTAGAACCAAACGAAAGAAACTTAGCTGATTCAAATTTTGGCCAGAGGTCAGCTGCTTCAGACTTGGTTGCCAGCATCCAGGGACTTGTTACTGTTCACTACCAGAAAACAGCTCAGGGGCTGCAGCCAGAGCTGAGAGAGAGCACAATTCCCTGCCCACAGCCTCATGAGCTGCTGGCTGCACCTCCCCATGACTCCAAAAGGGACTAGTGAGAGGCTTGACCCAGGGTGGACCAGTGAGTGCTAGGATAAAGAAACTTGAGATACATTAATGGATGCAATTGATACAATATCTTCAAGTAGTTCGTGTCCTGCTAGTAGAGGGAAGATGAGCCTATAAAAATAAGTATATAGTTTAAGGTGTAGATTACCTATATTTACAATGGAAAGGGTGGTTGAAAAGCCCATAAAGCAAAGAATTTACATTCAACCACCCTGACAAACTCTAGCTATCTGAGAGTTACTTCATGAATTTCCATTGTGATGAAATCTAGGGCTCATTAACCCCTTCATTATGAAGGAGTTTGGTTACAATATGAAGAAGACAGTGTGGTAGTTTAAAATTAACTATTACTTCCAAAAAATGTGTTTCATGGTTAGGCATCAAAAACATAATTATGATCATTAATTTTGAGTAGGAATGGTATCAAATATTTATTAAAATTTTAATACTGATTCTAATACACAAAACTCCTAACTTTATATTTCTTTTTGGGAAATTCTATAAGGTTCTCTTGCTTTTTTATTCTAAAATCAGTGCGCCAGTCTGTCGTGTAAGAATCTTATAATCAGCATTGATGTACTTCGTCTCTCTAAAATGCCTGGGCTTCTGTAGATGCTGGGATGAAAAGCAAGAGGCGAGGCATAGTTGATGTTTTTATGTACTTCACAATAGAGTATTAAATTTGAAATCTCAGCAGTTGATTTCTGTGAGTCCATTTCTAATAGTGTCACTGAGACTAAATAAATAGAGCTTTCTAATAGCAAAATTAATCTCTCTGTGTGTCACTAAGACTCCTATTGAAAGTATCATGCTCAGTAAAATAAATTCACTCAGCGGATTAATGAGTAGCTAGTTCCTCGGGGAGATTGGCATTTGTTCTCCCAGGACTGTGTCTGTTGGCTCCAGACCAAGAGAGGAGGGGTTCGCTCCAGGAAAGGTGATACTCAGTACAGTGTTCCATGGGCTCATGTTTGTTTGCTTGTCTCAGTAAAGGTCATGGAATATTTTATATCTACATCAGCATCTGACTGTCTGTATGGAATGGGTGGCATCAAGGCCAACAATGAAAAATAACTCACCAGGCAATTTTCAGTTCTGCATATTTTAGGAGACAAAAGTCCTTAAAGACAGTTTGTCAACTGTGAGATATATATATATGCTCCTGTGCACATATAAGCACAACTCTAGGCACGTATGAGACTCTCATGGCTCAGCATCTTCATCAGATTTTAGGATTGTGAAGCTTTTTAATTTTTTGTCAGGCTAGCACTCACCAGTTTCACTGTCTTCCCCTCCTTACACTTATAGGTATCTCACCACCTCACCCAAGGCCAATTCCCTTTCTCACCCTGTGAGGACTTGTTCTCAACTATCTCTGAATCTGAATTTGAGGGCCAAAGCTTCAAGAAACATACCCAGTTGAAAATTTCCTAGTGGGTTCTTTTTATCTTAGATGCTGATGATGCCTGTGATGCAAACTCTTGATAATCAACTTGACTGGCTTAGGAGACGCCTAAGGATGAGTGTATCACACTTCTGGGTGTCTGAGAGGACAACTTGAGGCTGTGCTCCTTCCTCTTCACTTGTTCTCTGCTT